CACACAAAAAATGCAACAGAACTATCACAAAGCAAAATAGAAAAATTTTATAAAGTGTTTGTTCCTATACACAAACATCAGGCAAGGGATTGGAGATCAATCTGACTACCAAACAATTATTTACGCACCCTCGAGTCAGGTTTCTCACTCCCCCTTACCTTGATGAGTAGAAGAGGAAGCGCGTACAGTTCCCCTGTGACCTCCTCCTCATGGTTCTCTTAAGTCTTCAGAGCACAATGCATAGAAAAGAAAGAGAAAGTGAGAAGCGTGAAAATAACTCAGGACAACCTCCTTTCTTAAAAGTAATAAAAATAAATAATAATAATAATAATAATAATTAGCAAAAGACCACTATGTCCCTCCTTCCCTTTTCATAAAATAATTAAACATATTTCTTTCTTTTAATAAATAACATAAACATAATTCTTGATAAAAAAAAAATATTTTCATAAAAATAGTCTTATAGAAAATAATTCAAATTTTAATTAAAAATCATTTTTATATTAAAATAGAGCTCACATAAAATAGATAAATAATATAAAATTTACTTCTCCCTTTTAGTTAAAATAGCATATGTTTTTTTTCTAAAAATAAAGTTCATATCAAATAACTAAATAATATTAAAAAACCTTCTAATAAACACATTAAAACATTAAAATAAATATTACGTATTATTAATATAATTTTATAAAAATCAGGGTGTTATAATTATCAAAGGAGATAATCGATTACCACAAAATGAAATACAATTCTAGGTTCTGAGAAGCTCAGGATAATCGATTACTGTGTCTCATAATTGATTACCCTGACTCTTTGTGTTCAAAATTCAGTTTTCAGATGAACTCATAATTAATTACCATATTAGGTAACAGATTACTTGTGTTATGACTCTTTATAATTGAATTATATCTTGCACTTTAAATATCTATCTTTTATGAAATTAAAAGAGAATCTTTTTGAAAAAATAACATTATTGAAAAAGAATACATTTAGAAACAAGAATCAAAGGTTGATTAAAGAAATATTTTTTGAAATACAAAAAGTGCAAAGATTGAACATGTGTTCTTGAAGGAAGAAATTCAAGAAGTGAATTCAATTGTGAAAGATCAATGTCTACACAAATTAGGTGATATCTTTCTGATCTTTTAAACTGTATTTTCGTTTTGTATGGTGTATCTCTTGAGATAGGGTGTCTCAATAAGAGATCTTGAAATCTTGAGTGAGATTTCTCAAGTAAATTATGTGGGGTGCAGAAATTTGTGTGTTTTTCAGTCTTGTAGTGTCAAGATTTGATGTGTGTTAGTATTCTTGTAATATTGTGTGTGCATAATATTTGTAAACAATATTATAGTGAATGATCTTTGATTTAGTGGGGTGCTAAATCAGAGAAAACTGGATGTAAGCCAAGTGGACGGCTGAACCAGTATAAATTTCTGTATTTTTTTTTTATCTTCGTACCCTTAGCTCTTTAATAATCTTGTTACGAATCTGTTTAAAGAATTCAAAGATTTACGAGATATGTTGTTTCAATTACCATTCATACTCTAAATATTATTCTTGTAATTGAAATTGATTAAGAAATTGGTAATATAAAATCAACCTTGATTACAAGTGACTGATTTGTTGCTTTAACATTGAAATTCTGATATATTGGTATTTTATCTTGTAATCTCCTGGAATTTGTTAAATCAAATGGATTAAAGGTTGAGTATTGGATATCTTGGTAGGTTATAATCAAGAAATTTCGAAATTAGAGTTATCTTAGGATAGAACCTATTAACCCCCCCCCCTCCCCTTCTAGATTCTATTAAATTGGAACCAACATTGGAGGCCCCTTATCCACAAAGCTTCTGCCTAAAAGTAATAGTTTTTTGGTGGAAAAAATTAAATATAGAATTTCTTGAATCCAAATTTAAGGCTTGGAAGACTAGATATGCTTTAAGTCCTTAGAAATATTTAGAAGCCAATTCTAAAGAAAAGTTTAAGAAAAATTTATAGAAGGCTTTTCCTCGTTGGATTTTGAAGATGAACAAGAAATGGAGGAAGTAAATAGTAGTCCATAAAATGACTGCTAACAATTACAAATGGCACAAGATCCTAATATTAGCCTTGAAGACTTGTGACTAGAGCACTTCATTAAGACTCATAAAATCAATTTATTTGATGTCAACTTTCAAATTGCTCAAGTTATGGATAAACTCAAGTTGGTAAAAGACGATGAAATAATTTAAGAATTTTGCACTAGAGAGCTATATGGCCCCAACTGTAATTATGTTAGTAAAAGCAAAGAAAAGCATCACAATAAGAAGGCATGATTCTTACGTTGCCCAAAAGATGCTTTTCAATTTGCTCATTAGTTTCGACAATAAAAAGTAAGGCTAACCAGTTGTAAAATAATTATGTTTCGATAGCCAAAAATAAGGCTTGCCAATTATAATTTAATTGCTTTTGCATTCCACCTCTGAGATCCATCTGTAAACTCTTTGATTATAAATATCTTGTAATTTGAGATGAAGAGACAACTACTCTCCAAAGTCTTAAACTCTTCTCCCTCAATTCCTCCTAACCTAAATACCTAAGCTTTCTTCCTTTCTTACTTTGCTTTTTTAAGTATTTACACTTAAGTAAATAAACTTTGTTTAATTCTTTGTTTTCTTTCTTCTTTATTTTGATTATCTATTACTTCCGTTGTAATTATTGTGCATATGATGCTTTAATAATTGTGTTTGCTTTGAAAAGAGACTATATTTATCTAATAGAAAACATGATTCACATGTAACGCTAGGATGTAAATAACATTAGAGAGTACTAAGCATAATTTCGTTTTAAGGTTTGAATATAAACATTTGCGCCGAATACAAATATTTATTTTTTTTAATAACTCATATTTTACATAAAATTTTAACAATTCAGTCGTTGAATTTAAAGTTTTTAATAAATAGATTAAATTTACAAATTTTCCAAAAGTTTAAAGACCATTTGATACTTTGTTTTATTAATTCAAATCAACGTATAAAATAATTTTATAATTATCTATCAATTTAAATTAATAAAATGAAGTATCAAATAATTTTTAATTTTTTTAAAAAATTTATATACTTAATTTATATATTAAAAACTTTAAATTCAATTACTGAATTGTTAAAATTTAATGTAGAATATAAATTATTGAACAAAATAAATCTAAATAGAATTATCCTCGTAATAAAAAATTTCCCAACTCATAATAATAAAGTAGACTTTTTTAACATTATATATCCCTCAATTACTCAGTACAAATTGAATATGCATGAAATGCAGGAAGAAAAGCGAAAGCGTAAAAACCCAAGTAAATTAAAGAATGATATATTATTTATTTACATAAGAAAACTTGGGACTTTTTTTTTAAAATATATCAAATTTTTTTTATTTATTTAAATAACCTGGGCTGGTTATTATTTACCCAAATCACTCACTTTGAAGCCCAAGTGAGAAATCGGTTACCCAGTAACCGATTTCTCAAAGAAATTTTTAAAAAAAATTCAAAATCTCTTTGAGAAATCGGTTAACCATTAACCGATTTCTCGCTTGGGACTTTTTTTTCAGATTTTGTAAAAAAAAATTAATTTTTCATTTTTTGATTTTCAGATTGTTTAAAAAAGTATAATTAATTTTAAAAAATATATTTAATATTTAAATTAAATAATTTATAAAGAATAATACTTAATAATAAAATTAACATTATATTTATTTATAAATTATAATATTTTTGATTTGATTTTTTTTAAAATAAATATAGTTAATTATAATTTTCAGAATTATATATAAAATTATAAAATTTTGTATAATATTTTAAATTTATGTTAAAAATAAAGAAAATGTTAAAACTTATTTATTATACTAAATTTTAGAATTATAAAATTAATTTTATTATTTAAATTAAATTTATTAAATATAGAAAATTAAAAACTGTAATATAATAATAAATATATTGATTTTGCATTAATAATTAAAGATAATTAAATTGATTATTACATAAATGTCAATATTATTTTATTAAATATTAATGACATTATATATTAAGTACACTAATTATAACGGTTATATCATTAAAATGAAAATAACTTAAAAAAAGACACAATTTAAACAAACTTCAAACATAATAGATAAAAACATAAAACTTAAATCATATAATATTAGTTGTCTAACTTCATTGCTTGGTCAAGATATCTTTCAATCGTTTCCATCCCATACAATAGTCCAATATATGTCATGGTAACTTTCATTGTAATTCTGTTGTTCTTTTTTATTCGATCTCCTATTTTATTGTTGTTATTTTATTTTTATTTAAAGTTGTTCATCTCAATTAAAGTTATTTTTATTTAAAGTTGTGATTTATCATAAGATTGTCATTTATTTAAATATCAATTTAAAATTAATTTTATTAAATTTTATTCTTTAAAAATTATTTTAAATAGATTTTTATAATCTAAAAACAAAAACTAAATAAATTTTTTAAATATTTATTATAATTTTTTTAATTTGAATATTAAAAACTGAAAAAGAAAAAAAATAACAAATCTAAAAAAGAAGAAGCCCAAAAAAAACACAAAAAAAAGCAAAAAAACGAAGAAAAAAAAAGCCCAAGTGAGAAATCGTTATCCTCACCTGGACTTCAAAAATAGGTTATTTGAATAAATAATCTTGGGCCCAGATTATTTAAATAAATAATTTTTTTTTATATATTAAAGAAAAAAAGTCAAAACTTGGTGAACATTGTCTTTGATCAATTAAATTCTGCGTGACAGATAGCTACCACATTGACTGTCTTGTCCTCCAAACAGTAAAGGGAGAGGCCAACTTGTTATGAATATTTGAAGTTTTAAGAATTAGACAAGAATTCAAACAATGATAAAAAAGAAAACCTTACAGATGAATGACACGTGTACGAAGATCTCAGCCTCTCACTATATATGCTTTATTTCATATCACAACTGCATTTAAATCACATACCACTGGGTTATCTCACATTAACTTCATCAAAGTCCAATCATGACCATGCTTCTCGCCTGTTTTCTCTTATCTCTTTTGCTTTTTCTTATACCAACCAAAATCAAGAAAATTCGGTGTTCAATATTAACAATGTTAAGAGTTGAGGTAACAAAACGAGAGATAGTAAGCATGGAGCAACATTTGCCACGAGAAGTGCTATCAAACATCCTCACAAGGTTGCCGGCGAAAGAGTTGGTGAAATGTAAATGTGTTTGCATGTCCTGGTTCCATCTCTTAACCGATCCTCATTTTATTAATAATTACAATGTTGTCCACAACAATCTCCTAAGCCAAGAGAAGCATCTCTTGGTCATTTGCAGACCCTTTTCTCCGGGCCTCAAAACTTACATTTCTGTTCTTTCTTGGAACCTCAATGACCTCAAAAAACATATTTTTTCTTATGTTTTAAACCCTCCTTATGAATTCAACTCTAAACACAAATACTGGACCGAAATCTTGGGTCCTTGCAATGGCATATACATGCTAGAGGGCAATCCTAATGTCTTGGTCAACCCTTCTCTGAGTCAGTTCAGGGCTTTGCCAGAGTCCCATTTCGCTGGTCGATGTAGGACTTACTCTCTCACTGACTATGCTGGCTTTGGCTTTGACCCCAAAACCAATGATTACAAAGTTGTTGTAATCAAGGACCTTTGGTTGAAGGAAACAGATGAAAGACAACTTGGGTATTGGACTTCTGAGTTGTTTAGCCTCAATTCTAATTCTTGGAGAAAACATGATGCTGCTCTCCCACTTCCGATTGAAATTTGGGGATCTTCCCCGGTTTACACTTATGTAAACAATTGTTGTCACTGGTGGGGCTTTGTTGATGAGTCTGGTAGAAAAGAAGATGTTGTTCTAGCATTTGACATGGTTAATGAATCCTTCAGGAAGATAAAGGTGCCAAGGATACGTTGTTCACCAAAAGAAGAATTTGCAACGCTTGCACCCTTTGACGAATCTGCTACAATTGGTGTCATTGTTTATCCTGTAAGGGGAAAAGAGAAGTCTTTTGACGTGTGGGTAATGAAAGATTATTGGGACGAAGGGTCTTGGGTTAAGCAATACAGTGTTGAACCTGTAGAAGCAATTCACAAGCTTGTGGGGTTTTATGGGAACAATCAATTTCTTTGGAGCAGCTTCAATGATGGATTAGTGTGGTATGACTGTGAAGCTGAGTCAGAAAAAATAAAGGATCTGCAGGTTTGTGGAAGGAATGGGTCGCTAAGAGCTGCTAGATACATGGAAAGCCTTGTTTCACTTAAAAGGGGAAATGAGTTTAGTTGCCATTTTCTTCAAGTGGGTCGCTTGATTCCCAACTCTCTGCTAGATCAAAGGGAAACACCATATTTTTCTTCTTTTTAGATTAAAAGATTTAGACTTAAATATATTTTTAGTCTCTCAAATTTAAGATAAATTTGATTTTGGTCCCTCAAATTTAAAATTGTTGTTTTTAGTTCCTGTAATTTTTAAAATTCTTATTTTAGTCTCTTAGATCACCAATAACATATTTTAAAGTGACTAATTACGATAGTTATGCGATATTAACCAGATTTAATGTGATATTTTTACTAATAAAAATATCAATAGGTAGATTTTATGCAATAATGTTTAATAAATTTCTTAACAAAATTTGAATATAAAAACTAAAATAAGATTTTTTGAAATTACATGAACTAAAAACAATAATTTTTAAATTTAAGGGACCAAAAACAGATTTACCATAAATTTAAAGAACTAAAAACATATTTAAGCCAAAGATTTAATTACATTTGTATTCCTATAATTTTATAAATTTTATCTTTTAATTTCTAATTAAAAAAATTTCCTTTTAATCCTTATACATATGATTTTTGGTTCAATTTAAATCTTGTTTTACATAAATTTTATCTTTTAATTCCTATAAAAATAGATGATAGGGAATAAAAAGAAATAAAAAAAGATATATATACATTAAAATGGAATATTTTTAATTATAAAAACTAAAAGATAAAATTTATAAAATTATAAAAATCAAAAGAGTAATTAAACTAAATTAAAAAAAAAAAAAAAAAAACAAGAATGAGATGGCTCCGGGTTGTCTTCTGTGTAGATATAGATTATTGGGTTGTTTGTCTGTCATGGAACACAACATTGTCCTAATTGGTTAAAATAGTGATGTTGAGAAGATAGCTGAAGAGATCAAAAGAGGGATGCTTCCGTGGAGGGAGTGGAAGCAAAACTCTGACAAATTTGTAGAATTTTTTTCATTTTCATTCAAAAAATATACTGGGTAAGAAAAAACTCGCTTATCTGTGCTCAGAAATTCCACCTCTGTTCACAGCACATTCTTCCATTATGTGTTGATATGAAAGAAACTATTATTTTGGTAGAATTCTAGTCTCGTGGAGGTGTTGACAGCTTTTCTCAATATTTTCAAGATCAACAGTCTTGCCACTTTAGTGTTCAAAAAAATTCACTTTTCATGGTAATATCTTTAAAATAATTTAGCCATGTTATACCCTCCACAGAATTCAGAACAAATAGGGAATTTCCTTTCTGCACTTGCAATATTTTTTTATAAACATTGCCTGAAGAAGTCCTTTGGAAAGTTGGGAGCACCTCTAAAGAGTGTTGTTCCAGTTATTACACACCTAATGAGGTTCCCGAGTCTGATAGTTTGTTTCTTGATTTTGACACTTGCACTTATGGCTACTCAATTTTAAAGCATTTTTAGACGCAACTGCGGGCTTCTTCTATAGCATTGGTGCTCTAGGAGGAGGGCAAGCAACTACCCCATGAGTCACTGAATTCTTCATTGATACGTTTCCATCACTGTTTATTTTGTATCCACTCAGCATGGGATATAAAACTAACTATAGCCAGAGCAAATTTATTCACTGTTTGTTTCCTGATTGTACAGGTTGGCATCTATTACTCAGCTTGTTCACCATGAAATGAGTTATGTACTTGACATTGCTCAATAATTTTTATTATCCATACATCTCCAGCTGCATATTCAGTATAACAATGCTTAACTACAAACAAACACTCCCTGCGTTCTAGACAATCAATTACTACAACATGCAGTTATGTACTCCTGGCTGGTTATCTATTCCTTTTAGTTCTAATCCAACATAACATACTGAGTGTTGCATTGGTGCACCCATCCTATGTGGGGATCTTCGTTATAACAGCCAACAGAATGAGCATATTGGCCTCTAAGCATCTCAATGATGCATTCACGAGCCTGTAATATGGTTGGAAACCGCATGAACCAATTTCTCATCTGTACCAAAGCCTCTTGTGCTTCAACAAATTCAGCTCGTCTGAGTTCTATAGCCACTTTGTTTTCAAGAAACTGAATTAGTAACATTAAGTACACACCAGCCATCCAGATAGATGAGTGTTGCAAATCCACTTCTCTAACACCATCAGTAATTCCAAGCTTCACTAACTCATCTTGAATTATATGCATCCCAGACTGTATGCGTTTTGCACACTCCTATGTGGATGCACCATCGACTTTTTGGCAGTTTTTGCCTTGGTCCATATTTTATTATAAAAAATATACAGCTTTATGACTTTTGAAGTGATCTATGAAAACAATTTTGAGAGTTGTTATGGTATTAAGAGTTTTAATATAGTTGATTTTGGACTAATAGTCGCATGAGTTTGTGTTGCGTCAAGTCTGTTTTCCTTTGACCTAGTTGTGGTTCAGTTATTTAGTTTCCTAATTTGTAGGACTTTGATGTTGATATTTGAATCTGTTATTGAACGTTTTTGTCTTATAGGAGATAGTGGGTTCATTTTCTATATTTTTTATTATTATTTGTTTAGGATTAGCTCTCTATAGAAGAGCAAGTATTTTACATGTAGTTAACATCAAGAAGTAATAAACAATTCTTTCCTTCATTTATCCCTTTTACACTTTATTTTGTAACAGTGGTATCCGATCTTAGGATCTTAGGTTTTACATTTGAGTGTAAACAAAGGGAGAGTGAGAGTAAACACTAGTAGGTTAAGTTTGGAGAAACCCCTATGGAATTGAAGTAGAGTATACCATTTCCTTCTGTTATTTTCTATTTTGCGGCAACAGTGAAAATGAATGGCCTCTGAAAGTTGTTTCTAGCCTTCCATTCCATGATTTGATGATCACTATGATCATTGGCATGCTTATGGAAAATTTCCTGAGGTCTAAGGAATATTGGTAGTGTTGAAATAGCAGAACTAGAAGATGGAGTCATGTTAACAGCAACGTAACAAGCTGAATTAGACACGTTGTAGTTGAAGGATCTTAAGGCTAAGAACTATCTTTTCAAGCAATTGACCAGGCAACCTTGGAGACAATTCTTTGCAAAGACACGTCCAGGCATATTTAGATACAATGAAGAAGACACATCAAGGGAACGCAAGGGCAAAACAAGTGCTACTTCAATGACTCAGAACAAATTCGAGACTTTACACATTAAGTCTTGAGAATCGATGGAGAAAAAATGTGAATTAATGGAGAAAAAATGGAGCGTGTCAGCATTGTGGAGAAAATTCTTTGATTGTTGAGACCAAAATTTAATTGTTAGCGTGCTCCATAGAGGAATCTTGGTGCGATGCATTTTGCAAACATTTAAGAAGCATCTATACTTTGATGTATTTACATAAATATTTATCTTTATTCTCTTTGTTGCATTATTCTCCTTATTTGTTGAACCAATTACTTTGGGGTGGTTTTTATAAATACAGGAGTTAAAAGTGTTTGGATTTGATGAAAAAAAGTAATTATGGAATTACATGGATCACCCAAAGCATGATTAATCATCATGAACTTGCGGAGATGTTTCAACCCTTTACCATATGTCACAAGTGTACAAATATGCATGTATATGCAGAATAATAGTTTTATGAATTGATTATCAATGCTTGTAATACATATCTTATATAATAGTGAGAAGGGTTGTTTTTAACAACCATATCAAAATGTACTGGAATATGAATTGATATTACAATAAAAGATAAGATTTGGTTAACAGATTAGCTAATCAATAAAATTTGATTAGCTGATTAACTAATCATGCCAACACGCCCCCGCGAGATGGTGGTGTTGGAAGCAACACCAATCTTGGATGTTAGCCATTAGTGTCTAGTACAATTAAGAGGCTTCGTGAGGAGATCAGCTAGTTGGTGGCTGGAAGGAACATGAGAAACATTGAGCTCCTTTGTGTTGACCAAGTCTTGAACAAGATGATAATCAATGGCGATATACTTCATACGAGAGTGGAAAATGGGATTGGCACAGAGGTATGTAGCTCCAATGTTGTCAGAGTAAATATGTAGGTTACCTAAGAGTGGCAAATGAAGTTCCTTAAACAGTTCACGAAACCAAAGAAGTTTAAATGTGGTTGACCTAATGGTACGATACTCTGCCTCTGTGGAGGATTTGGCCACAATTTTTTGCTTTTTATAAGACCAAGAGATAGTATTAGTCCTAGGTAAATGATGTATGTAGTAGTAGATTTCATGTCAGTAGAATCTCCACCCTAGTTAAAGTCAAAAAAGGCTTGTAGACGAAGATTAGAGGAATGTCGAAGATGGAGGCCATGATCCAAGGTAGACTTAAGGTAGCAAAGAAGTCGTTTGGCTACTTGCATATGAATGGTAGTTGAAGCATGCATATACTAAGACAACTTAGTGACACAATAGGCAACATCATGTCGTGTTAAGGACAGATACTGAAGAGACCCAATAAGTAGATGAAACTCATGCACATCACAAGATGGGGTGTCACTACAGTTGGAAAGATTTACCGAAGTAGACATTGGTGTAGTAATTGGCTTGGCATCATGCATGTTGTGTTTGTGTAGCAGATCACGAATGTAGTGATGCTGGGTGAGGAAAAGACCATCCGGTGTAAGGATCAATTCAATACCAAGAAAGTGACTTGGTGATCCAAGATCCTTAAGAGAAAATTGGTGGCCAAGTGATAACTTGAATGAATTAAGAAATGGGGGATCATTACCTTTGAGCAAAAGGTCATCAACATATATGAGAAAGTAAGCCAATACAGAACCTCAACGATACACAAATAAGGATGTGTCAGATTGTGAGTTGGTGAATTCAACACTGAACAAAAATTATTTTAGAGCAAGGAACCAGGCCTGAGGGGCTTGTTTAAGGCCATATAATGCTTTGCGAAGCTTGCACAGATGATCAAGAAACTAAGGATGAATGAAGCCAGGTGGTTGATACATGTAAATATCCTCCTCAATAGTGTCATGAAGAAATGCATTTTTGACGTCCATTTGAGACAAGGGCCAGTGTTTCGAGAGAGCCACACATAAGACCAACTTGATTTTTTGGGGCTTGATGATAGGGCTGAATGTATCAATGTATTCAACACCAGGTCGTTGATGAAATCCTTTAGCCACTAAACGGGCTTTGTAACGAGC